GGTATGCCTACTTTTGCTAGGCACACCCACACTTTCAAGTATTTCAGGTTTGGCACTCGACCTTTCCATATTTCGTATGGAGGCTTGTCAAGCTTCTTGTGAGGAACCCTGTTCAAAACATGACAAGCAGAAAGAATAGCCTCCCCCCACATGTTATTAGGAAGCCCAGAACTAATAAGCATAGAATTCATCATATTCTGTAAAGTTCTATTTTTCCTTTCAGCTATACCGTTTTGTTCGGGTGAATAGGGAGCCGTCGTCTCATGAACAATGCCAAGTTTCTCACAAAATGCCTTAAGAGTGTCAGGGCTGTACTCACCACCCCTGTCACTCCTAACCCTTTTAATCCTTTTGTCCAATTGGTTTTCTACCTCAGCTTTATATTTGAGGAACATTTCCTCAGCTTCGTCCTTAGACCCGAGAAGATAAACCATGCAAAAACGTGAACAATCATCAACAAAAGTAATATAATACTTTTTACCCCCTCTACTTTCGTGATTATTAAAATCACCTAAGTCACTATGAACAAGCTCTAGTACTTCAGTCTGTCTATCTACTGATTTAAATGGCTTCTTTGTAAATTTAGCTTCAACACAAACTTGACATTTTGAAAAATCCGTATTAGAAAAACTTGGAATCAAATTTAAGTGCTTAAGCCTTTTAACAGAATCAATATTAACGTGACCTAATCTAGCATGCCATAAATCAATAGACTCAGCAATATAAGCAGAAGAAGTACTAGCATTCTTATTCATAGTGTCAATCTTAACATCAAGAGTAAAAAGCCCCCCATTACAAAATCCCTTCCCCACAAATTCCCCATTGCGAGTAAGAACTAATCTATCAGAATCGAAAGAGAGCTTCAGTCCAGCTTTCATGAGTAAACTGCCAGAAATTAAATTCCTGCGCATTTCTGGAACATGCAAGACATTAGTCAGAGTAAGCAATTTTCCAGAAGTGAGAGTGAGAACGATCTTCCCTTTGCCTTGGATAGAAGAAGAAGCTGAGTTGCCCATGAAGACATTTTCACCTTCAACCTTGTCATAGGTAGTGAACATGTCCTTGTTGGCGCAGATGTGCCTGGTAGATTCAGTGTCAACAATCCACTCAACAACATTACCTGTAAAGTTAGCTTCTAAAACAACATCAACAATAACGTCAGAACCCTCAATAAGATTTGCTTGACTTTGCCCATTCTTCTTCTTGACCCTACAATCTTTAGCCTTGTGACCAGTCAGACCACACTCAAAACAAGTACCCAAATTTGTACTTCTGAATCTTCCCTTTAGGCTTAAGGTTATGTTTTTGGCTTTGGACTGGTTGTTTGATTTGGGTTCAACAAGGTTGGCTTTGGCAGAAGAAGAGGAAGGAAAAACAGAAGGGGTTTTGTCTTTGATACGGTTTTCCTCCTCGATTTTGAGGTGGGCAGCAAGCTCCTCTAAGGTTAGGTCTTTCTTTTTGTGCATGAGTTGGTTACGAAAATCCTTCCAAGAAGGAGGGAGTTTCTCAATCAGAACAATAGCAAGGGTAGTATCACAAATAGACAGACCTTCAGCAGCCATATTAATACAAACACTCTCATAAGCATGAATTTGATCAATAATAGGCTTATCATCAACAACTTGAAAACTTAACCACTTACTAACACAATAACATTTAGTACCAGCATCATCAGTTCCATATTTTTTCTCTAAAGCATCCCAAATAGCCTTAGCATGATAAAAACCCATATAAATATCCAACAGATTATTCGACATATAATGCAACAACATGCCCTTAGAGGTTCTATCATCCTTAGCAAACTTAACATCACTTTCAGACAAATTATCCTTATCATCAGGTTCAACAATATCATCAAGAACATATGCAACATCAATTTGCTCCAAATAAAAACGCATCCTAATAGCCCAACGTTTATAATTCTTTCCATCTAGAGTAACTTAGACATATCAGGAATCAGAAACTTGGAAGCCATAATCGTCTTTTAGATTGTTATACTACTAAGCAATAAAACAGAAATTACTTATCTCTTGATGCGTGAACCAAAGTGACAATAGCCGCGTCGTGGAAAACCACTGACCTAAAAGACGATTCCGCACTACCTCCCGGTGCAGTAGACTAGAAGCGGTCGCCCTCCAGGATAAGCACGGCGCCGGAGTTTATGTGCACTCACAAACCCGACTGGAACTCAGAATACTTGCCCAGAAAACAGAACAGAAGAAACTCGTGTTTAGATAATTTTAGAGAGGAGAGATAACTGAATGTGTTGTGTATTTTTGACTGGAAAAAGCAACGAGTATATATAGGCAGAAGAAGGGAGACATGAAACGTAAAACGAGGTACGAATCTGGCTAAGAAAACGACTAGATTCATTCAACCAGTCAACAACGTAAGCAAGAAACAAGGAATTAATTAATCAGCTGTTTAACAAGGAAAAAGAAATAAAATTCCTCCAAAAAGATAACAAGGACCCACGCATCCCGAGGCCCAGACCCGACCCGACCCGACCCGCACGCGTGTGTGTGTGTGGAGTAACACTTAACTCCCACTCACTCAACTAAGTAGTGTTAAGACACTACAATATAAAAACAAGGAAAAACCTTTCCCCCCAACCAATGTGGGATTTTCCCTTTCATTTGTTTTTCTTTCTCTCTTGTTTTCCCCATCCCTCTTATTTTATATCAAGAACTTCCAACAATTACTCCCTACTTTCGATCTGCTGCTCCATTAGTCCATTACTGCTGACCCCCTCTTTCTGCTGCCTCCCCTGCGTTCTGCAACTCAAACAATGCAATGTAAGGTAGTTGGTATATTATTATTGCGTGTGTATATATAGTTATAATATTGTCTATTTTATATACAGTATATATAATTAGATAAAGCAACAAACATTGCCATAAAATACTAGTTCATAGCATTTAAATTTTGATATTTTATCGTGTTCATAACCCCTTAAAGTTAGTGATCAGTCTCACTTGTTCTTGGAGGATCAGTTTGCTCGATTAACTTCAGAAGGCTTGTTCTCCTTCGTTAAGAGGTCTTTTTAGGTGATTCTTTTTTTGAATTTGGGTGAAATTTTGTCTACTTTCTGCCTACAATATTTCATAATTTTTCGAGTTCTTTTGCTATTAAACTGGACTGTTTTCTGCAACTGTGTCAATTTTAGTCCGAGTTAATAGTTATTGCTGTTTGTGTGCGATTTTGTTCCAAGTTGTGCTACGGTTTTTGCTTTGTTTTGTGCGCATACTGTGTGTATAGATCATGGCAGACGAGGCTATATTCGATTCATGAATAGACTACACATTATATTCAATCATTCATGTTTTCTTAAGGCTATATTTGATTGCTTGTGCTTATGGTGATAGCTAGCTATATTGTGTACTTTTATTTTTATTTTTTTTTTATATTTCAGGTATCAGTTAAGCAACAATTGCTTGGTTATTCAGTGGTCTGGGGACAATCCAAACAGCCTTGTAAGCATAGTTAATTTTGTTGTATTGTACTATTGTGGATGAATTTAAGTTGTATGGAGATATTTGGATTGCTTGTATTGTATGTTGTTGGTGAATTCAAGTTATGTGGAAGTGTTTGGAGTACATGTTTTGTTGGTTGAATTGTAGCAGGTTATAACCCATTTGACGATGGGTCGTTTGGTAGGATATATTACCAATCTTGTATGCGAATCAAATAATTATTTTTAAAAAAATTATTTATTTATCAGTATCTAGCGTAATCTAATGCTAGTTACCAATACAGTAATTTTTTTTTTTTAAAAAATAATAACTATTCGTAACTGGCGTTAGGCTATGCCAATTACAAATAGTACCATAATTGTAACTTAATGCCAGTTACGAATAGTATGAATTCTAACTTGAAAAATAGACTATTTGTAACTGGTGTTAAGTTAAGTCAGTTACGAATAGTATATTATTAGTAACCATCATTAGCCGATTACGAATAATTTTCACTAGTTGTAACGGTGGCAATCGCAACCAACAATGCCAGTTATAAAAAGTCAATATTGAGCAAAGTTGAGAGTATTAAAGTGTTTTTTTTTAATTCAAATAAATAATAAATAAATAAATAAATAAACCTAAATTATTGATAAAAAGACCTGTTTTTTGTAACAGGCGGTCTCTTAAGTCTCGTCGTACAAACTGACACGCTGATGATGGGTCTGACTTGTCTGGCGTGATGTTTTCTATAGTATATGAAAAGAGAGCCCCTTCTTAAACAATTGTTCTCTTTGTGTGTTTTCACTTTACCAAATACATTACAAAGTACTTGTATCTGCTTTGTGATACTTTTTTTTTTAAAATCTTATTTCTTTTTCCTTTTCTTTCCTTTTTTTTTATTTTTTTTTTATCCAAAACACTTAAATTAATACTATGAAAAAACTTTTGTACTCACTTTATATCATACCTAATACTAGTAGTATTTTTTTCATGTCTTCTTCACTAATATAGTTTTTTCTACTATAACACTACTATATCAAATTGTAATTAGTTTAAATATTAACTTAAAATATTTTTTTAATATTCTATGATTGTCTAGTGATTTCTCATTATATAAAATAAGAGTTTGCGCATTATGAACTCTAAACGTAGTATGTTTATCCCAATATATTGATGATTAATTAAAAGTATGCCTCACTTCGAGTACTCGCTCATATATTAGTTACACATAAGCTACTACGAGTATTTTTTATTTTAGTTTATTTATATAATCATTGACTTACTACTAAAATAAAAATTCGTCTAAGAGTCCTATAAAATTGTAATTGTATGACCTTTAATTATACAATACTTAGTTTTATTTGTTTGATGTAATTATGGACAACACTTGAGGAGTAAGGGTGATGTAATAATGAGGTGGAAATAAGCCATAAATAATTGAAATTTTAATTTGTCAAGTTTGTATTTTTAATTAATCAACCGAATTCCGTACCCCCATTCTCATATTTCTGGATCCGCCACTGGGAAAACCCTAAGCCTTTTTACATGGCGATACGAAACTGGGGAGAATTTCCCTTAGATGTAGCCATTGAAATCGCCGACAAAATAGAATTCTTTGAAGATGTTGAGGCCTTTGCTGGGGTTTGTACTTGTTGGAGACGTGCAGCAAAGCTTGCTGAACGATCATCATCATCTCGTCAAAAGCCATGGTTGATGCTGGCGGAACCGCCTCGCACTTCATACCGTCGGTTTTATAGCCTCTATAATTCCAAGGTTCGGCAAGTGGACTTGGCCGCACCATCAACTACACGACATCGTACCGCCTTGGGCTCTTCAAGCCTACTATTTCCACCAAAGGAGTACAAGAAGGAGAGCGTCTGGAGGTACTTCTCTTCTTGTGGATGGCTTATTTGCGTAACCCAAATTGGTCTGGACATAATTCTCATGCACCCGCTTTCAGGCCAAAAAATTCAAACTCCTGCATTACCTGTAACCATATTGCAGACTAAGGTAAACCTTAAATGGCATGATCGACTATACTTGCACATATTCCACAAATTCGCGCTATCAGAAAGTCCATCAACTACACGAGACTACACTATGGCAATGATTATATCTAGCACTCTAGCTTTCTGGGGGAGCGGTAATGACAATTGGTGGACGACTCCAAATGAGAGTTATCAGACTGAATTCAAGGATGTCATTTTTTATAAGGGAGAATTCTATGCCATCCGCTTTGCTGGGGATATTAGGCATGTACAGGTTGTTGCTTGCGGGAATACAAGCCCTTGCACTCCTAGGTTAGTTGTTGAGTTGGGTTGTTACGAAGACAGTTATTCTGACAAATTCTACTTGGTAGAATCTGTTGGTATGTTGCTGCTCGTCTCTCGTAAGGTGGCCAAGTCCTTTAATAAGCACGAACAGGAATATGCCTACAAGACTGCGTCCTTCAAGGTATGGGAGGTGAATGTCATCGACGGGATACTAACACAGGTGAACAGCTTGGGTAATAGAGCCCTTTTTGTTGGGTTTACCTCTTCTTTCTCCGTGGAATCATCTTTTGGTAAATTTTGGAACAAATACTATGATATGGCTGATTGTATTTACTACACAGATGATTTGTTGGAATTGTATTATCTATCTGAAGGTGGGCATGATATTGGTGTTTATAATTTGATATCTGGCAAAAATACTACGGACCACTACCAAGGTTTTTCGCGTTTCAGCGTTGTTACACCACCCTTGTGGGTCGAGACACCAAGGTTGTTTACTGCTAGTACGGTGTAAATCTACAGAAGGTGATAAACTCATAACGAGATTAGTCGGCTCATAAGCGACTCAAGTCTCAAATTCGGCTTAAGATTGTCAAGAGGCCATTGCAATTCACAATTCAATTAAGTTTTGTTTAAGACAGACTTACTTTGATTTTATTGTGAAATGAATCAGGTGGACATTAATTTTATGTTAATTTTATTGTTAAATGGTTAATTTTCTTGTTAAATGGTCAATTTTATTATAAAGTTTTATTATCCTACCTTTAATAAAATGTTGTGATTACCAAAATCAATAAGAATTAACGTTGAAATGACAATGTGATTATTTCGACATAAAGACCTCTTGATGCCTTCATAGATATAGATGTTAGCTTTTTCGCTTTAATTTTGTTTATAAAGCACATTTTCGTGCAAGTTGTGTGAACTAGATAGATATTGGACAAAATGAACAAAGGCACTTAGTCTAGTCCAGGCATATTGAACGAAATAGTCATATTATATTTCCCAAATATTGAACAAAATGTATACTCTGTTTCTCATCAATTGAAAAAAATAATCTAATACATTTCGTAAGTTTGAACAAAAATACAATTAATAGATAATAATCGGCATGGATAAAACCATACATGATTTTAATTTTATCGAAATAATCGTTGGCATTGAGTATTTCATCAATTAACATAGGTGAAAGAATTTGAAGTTATTGACGGGTTTCTAATCTGCAATTTTGTACAGCTTAGAAGCTAATATACGACATAAATTATGACAACTTAATTTTATTGCAGCTATTGAGTAAAGTGTCTATCCCCTCATAAAATAAAAAATAAATAAAAAATAGAGTAAAGGGTCTAAAATTCTCCTTAATAACTCTAATTCTTTTGATGTAAATAGCTTACTGAATGATTCTATCATGTACTGGAGCCACCCAGAAGATATATTAGAAACTTTGGACTAGTCATATTGAATAATTGATATTTAAATATCATGAAACCCTTAACAACATTTTTGGTTTGTAGTTGACTAGTTGAATATCCATTACAAATGAAGATAAAAAGTAGAACAAATTATATAATCCTAATATAATGTCAAACCATACACGAGGGTTTCATGATCTCATGTACATATTTTATTTTTTAGTTGGCAAGGGACAAGGCTGATAACCTCACTTGTACTCTTATTTTATTTTTCAGATAGCACCACAGGCCGGTTTCCTTAATAAGTCAGAAATTCCTATTAAAATTACCAAATAACAGGGAAAGAATAATAAACAACATATAAGAAATACCTCTCCCGATCCCATACCAATTGAAGTACCATGAGAACACTCATGTGAAGGTGTTCCCAAGTTGAAAGATTGTCACCTACCAGTCCATGTTGCAGCATACCTTTGGCTGCCTATAAATCCAGCTCGAGTATGTAAGAACAAATGCTCGCTTATCTTCTTTTGCTAATCTCATGCCTTCATATGTAAATCTAGCCATGAGCATCCCATAGACCTGAAATGTCAACAGAATCTCATATTAGATCAAGCTCTGTCAATCATATTTAAAAATGAGCAAGAAAAACAAAAGGAATAATTATATAGAGTAATAGATTGTGGTAGTATGAATGATTTTGGCTGCCGCCTATGTCAGGATCCCTATCATGAATATTTCTCTCAGGCATTTTCTTTGTCACTACCTAATAAACATGTAACAAGACATAATCAACTTACAACCCAAGACAGGGAGAATATTGAAGGTTGGGTGCAATCTGGATACAAAGGTCAACATTCAATACCTTGCATATTGCTGGTTAATTCATATCATTCCATTTACTATGAAGTTGTTCACTAAATCTGCCCACCATAATCGAGCTTTTGAATGTGTAAAATCAGGCCAGGCCATACTTTACCAGATTATAAGAGAAAATATGAGACTACCAATAGAGTTCAACAATATAATCCTATTGAACTTCAAGATGATAACATTGATAAGTGATGGAAGAATCGGGTTTCAAACAATTACTATTATAAAATTATGTTAGTTGTAATACTTTTGTGTAACAAAATTTAGAATAAATTCTTCCAATGACTTATCTAGTCAGTCGACAATGCATCAACTATGACTTTATCTATTATGAAGCTGGAGAAATAGATTTTCACCAGATTGATCAATGATGCTTTCTGTTTTTTCTTTATAGGCCCTATGAGTCTTGTTAAAGTATGGGCACATAACTACAAATTTATAAAAAAATAAATAAATAAAAGGAGGGGTATAGTTACGAGTTTTGTCGGACCCTACTCATTCTACTAATTCTAGTCACCTTTATTGCCACTCGACAAGACTATCGGGGTTTCTAACCCAACGATAGAGTAGTCAGGTCTTAATGCAGCTTGTATTATCTTATTTAAGTGTTTATTGTTTGCTAAACATCTTACTTCTACTACTAGTAGGTCACCAAACAGGGGAAGCGAGGTGACTTAGACAAATCTTTATTTGTCTATAACCTCAGACCAATCAATTGATAATTGAACTGGACAACTTCAATCTTCAGTCTGTCATAAGAACCTGTCCATGCATAATGAATTAGCCGGCTGATAAGCTAATGAAACTCAAGTCTCAAACTTGGCTTGTGATTGTCAAGAGGCTATCACAATTCACAGCTAACTAGACTAGAAATTTTCTATCTACTTTATATTTACATATATAATATTTCATATGAAAGAGTATAACATTCAACATTGTAATCAAGTAGTGTCTAGTAACGTATCAATTCTGATTTCAAAAGTATTTGCAAAAGCTTAGATACAAAAAAGTATCAGAGTTGTAGACTTTTACCCCCCAAATACTTGATTGAAGGAGTTAACCTCTATTCAATAAACCTATTACTCAGAGTGATCGATGAGTACACACTCTATTTTCAGTTCTTTACAAAGCAGTTACTTACAAAGCACTTTTGACTTTCTTTGATCTCATATTGATCACCATCTATACCTGGAAGATCAAATCTTACATAGAGAACCCACAGTACAAAATAATCCTCAAGAATCACCAGAGCATTGTTGCATTGCAGCTTTTTTTCACAAACTTCTCCAAACCCACGAATCTTGAACAAATTCTCATCGGCCACAGAATCTAGAATGTGGGCTGGTTAACAATGAAATTACATTAATCACAGTTGCAAGTATCAATTTCAAAGGTATTTAAAGAAGAAAAAACAGAGGATCGGCAATATATAGTTATATACCTGCTTCTAAACTTATTTTCTCACCATTGCAGCAAGAACATTCTGGTTGATGAAGAGTAAATCCATCCATTGTACCTAGGTTTGGCCAGTGAACTATGTTAGATATATTCAATATGGAAAGGGTAAAAACATCCAATTACTTATGTACTTCAGTAAATTATACCAAGAGAGACATGAGGTAGATGAGCCAATTTTGATCCCTTTCGACCTTTTGATTTACCAGAAACTGCTCCTTGAACCTTGGAAGCTGAAGGGGGCAGATCATGAAACTAAGAAAAATGGAACTAAAAAAAAGCCAGAAAAACTTCAGTGTCTTCGCATTAATACCTGATAAACCTCCCATCTCAGGGGCTGATTGAGAGTGTGATTGTTTAGTTTGCATAGCCTTGGAAACTGGAGTAGTAAACAGCAAACCATAAACAGAAAAATCAACCTCATCTCTTTTGAGTCTTGCACATTGCAAATAAAAGTCAATCCCGTTCTTTTTTCACCTTGATTTGCTACTTCATAAAGTTTAGACATTCTTCAATACTTGATGTAAGCTAGCCCATAACTATTAAAGAAATATCTCTTCTAATTGTAAGCTTAATAATGCTTACTAGCTAAATTTTACCAACTTAAATTTGGGGCTATAGTAGAAGGAAAACATTTAAAAGTAAGCATTTGGCAACAAGCATGCAGTAAGCAGAAACCAGGTGCATGTAATCAATTTAACCCAAACAGCCACAAAGGCAAAGGGTATTAGACTAACCCATGGCAAAGTAACACCTAACAAAATAACAACATGAACGAATTCACATAGGCATATCCACATTACCACATATGTACTTATTACCAAGGTAAGAAAATTAACATCTAAAAGCACTTATTCTACTACACGAACTAGGAAAGACTCAATAATTTCCCAAAAAAAAAAAAAAGGAAAGACTCAATAAACATAAATCATTATTTTAGTCATTTCAAAACATGGTTGTGAGTAGATGGTTGTATTCACTACTATAGTATCATAAATCCAAAGAAAAATGAAGGTTGTTAAAAATCAGGTATCTATTCCCAGTTCCTCAAACACATCTCCATACTAATTCTTCTACCACACAGTCTGCACTGCCCTCCATACTCCCTGCCATATTTCAAACAAGTAATGCTGATAGATGAGATTTTTTGCAGTCATGAATCTGGATGTTCAAGCATTAGTTGCATTTAATAAGACAAATTCAAAGAACTTGGTAAATAAGAAGTTTAAATTACTGAATCTTAATGTATGCACTGAATTTGTTGGTGGTCTCGACTATCTACTGCACGCACTACATGGCCAGTCCAAAGCAAATAAATGAAAAGTTACTTCAGTTTACAGCTACCAAAACACATCTCCAAACTAATTATTCTACTGCTCAGTCTGCTCTTCCATCATTTCATACTACCTCCCATAGTTCCAACAAAGGTCGATCCTGAAACTAGAGGTTCTTTGCACAGTAAATGCAAAGCCAAATGAGATGTGGTACAGAAGAGGGCAGGGTGACCACAATGGTGATCGCATGAGATACAAAAAAATTTGAGTATTTTGAGCATTCAAGGATAAATAATGTAGACCTCATAGTGGACATTGTTGATGTTTGGAAGAGATCAAAAGGAGGATTGGAGGAAGCTTATGAAGCTACACACATTCAGGATGGATACACCTATAGGAAAAGAAATGACGAAACTATGATAGCAAATGCCTCCCTCTTCTATGTGATTCTGCTCTGGAAAATGAAGCAAAGGAAATTGTTTGCCTCCAAAAATGGCATATTTACAGCAATTATAATAAGAATAGATAGCTAAGAATTAGTCAAATCCTAAATTACAAAAGAAGGGTATGATCAATTACTCACTTAGGATGAAAAACTAAGTGTTAGCTTTATTGTCTAAGACAGGCTATTGTGGATAACTGGATACCCATAAATTGACAATGAACCATGATATGGGATCCTAAATTACCAAGATCAACCTAACCACAACACCAACACATCAAAAGACCTATCTAACAAAGCAATTCACCCCGGCCTGCTTATCTTATTGATTCCACATTACATAAAATCAAAACCCACAACATGTACACATCAACATCAATCAAACCACAACATAATCATCATCTTACACAAGAAAATTAAATATTTCTCTTATGGATATAAACATTATTATTACTATTCACGGTTTAAAATATATATATTGCTAGATTACATAACCCCTAAACATAGAAATCATTTCATCCAAATTAACAAATTTTTACCCAAAAATCAACTACCCGTAAGATTATAAAATAAACCCAGAATGTATGATGAGGAAAAATTAGACCCAGGAAAATTCTTAAACGGAAAACAGAGACCAATAAATTTTCTCGACAAATAAAGAGAAAACACAGATTATCTTTAAAAATAACACAAACCCATAAATAATCTTCAAAAAAAAAATTAGAAAAAAACAAACCCAGAATTTGAAACATTAAGTTATATAAAAATTTGAGAAGGGAGATAAAGAAAAACATACTCTGCATACCCTTGAGGGAATACAATGTTGGAAGCTCTGTTAAATTCGGAAAATACATCCAAAAACAACCATTTTTCAGATTGGCATAGAAAGAACCTTGATAATCCATGGGTACTTTAACACGACCTCCGTAACTCCGCTTGTATTCGTCCAAATTTTTCCACAAAATTTCATAACTGGGTGCTTTAGCTACAAATTCGAAGACAGCATATGAAATTGAGTCTTCTTGGATGTTGTTTCGGGTTATCTCAAACTCATTTGCTCCTGGTACGTCAATTCTCAAGTAAATGCCGGAATCAAATGGACTGTTTTCTACTTTTGAGACAAATGGGTTTGGAACTGAATAATTGTAAAGCATAAAAATTAGTATATTCAAGTTTACAAAGTACTAAATATTACAAGGTATGCACTAAAATTAACCAACAATTATATTTATGAACAAGTTACCTAACTCCATTGTTGGTAGCTTGTGCTTTCTCTCTCTTCTTCTATGTCTTCTCTTCTCCAATTGTGTAGACGGTGGTTTTATTTTTTAAAAAATTGTGTTCAAAACTACATATAGGATGTAACGCGGTATTTTATTTCTAGTATTCTCGGACGTTTTTTCCAAACTGAGCCAATTTTGGCAAATATTAACCAAAATGGTTGCGTGGCAAAAGTATTTACAAACTAAGCTTCCAGGCTAAAACGCTGTCTCGGTCAGCGTTTTATGCCTGGGTTTTTTTTTAAAAAAAAAATCAACCTAAAAACGCTGTCTGGGACAGCGTCTTTGTTGTTGACCTTTTTTTTAAAAAAAATTTTGTAATTGCCTTTTATTTATAAAAATGTTTTTAAAAAACAAAAACAGTTATACCAAAGACGTTGTCCCAGACAGCGCTTTATGTACAAACTTCCTTGTACCTAAAACGCTGTCTCAGACAGCATCTTATTTTTAACCTAAAACGCTGTCTGGGACAGCGTTTCTTTGCTGGTGTGCAAAACAGCAGCAGAATCAGCCTTTTGCCACTGACTGCCACTTTCTTCTGCCCCCACCCACCACCCCCTGCCATGATTCTTGCCACCACAATCCACCAACAACCCCACCATCGACCACCATCTGCCACCACTTTTGACCTCCAACAACACTTCAACCAGCTCCACCACCAACCCCAACCATTCAACAACCGTCGATAACCACCCACCACAACCAACAACACTAAAACCACCATGAACAACCACATTAACCACCACGGGCCATCCTTTCTTCCCCATTTTCGACTATGGATTCCAAATGTCTGTTGTTTAATGTACATTAGCCCTGAAGGATCTATTTTGACTGACATAAATCCGATTTGGATAAATAAGAAAACAAAACTTCAAAACACAAACAGATTCATTCAACCAGCATGTCTTATATTGATAATGCAATCGTTATATACATCATTCCAGGAAAAAGGACAAAACAATGATACAATACGTTCACTACTCATCAATTTGGTGTAACCCTTCCCTAGCCTCACTGTCGTCCCTTCGTCTTGGACGACGCCGAGTGTAATGGTGAATGGTGGTGAATGGGTTCCGGCGCGGGGGGGGGGGGGGAGTGAGCTGGCTGGACGATGCGTCCTCCTGGGTTCTGAAGGGTGCAGAACTGTGGAAGATGTACTCCTCTGCCTCTGTGTGCGACGTAGGATCACCTCCACTGCTACTCTGGCCGGGGTCGAACCGCGAATGGATGGAGTGACCATCATCACCGTCCCGCTGTTGGATGAGATGACCGTGACCATGTCTGCGTAAGGAAGTTGCAGACATATCTCGCATCCGCTGGACCTGGGCTCTGGTGGGTCCGTCTGTAAGGGCGAGGGACAGTGCATCATACATCGCCACCATATCCGCCGCCTGTAGTAATCATCGATCAGTCAAGTACATGATATTTAAAAAATTTAAAAAATAAGGATGATAAGTATAGTAAAAGAAACTCACATATTCGCTAATGACGTCATGTGCCGGGTGGTAATGGGTGGACGGTGGTGTATAGCTGGGGTTGATGAAACGGCGTGTGATAAGCCTGTACCACACCATGTACGGATCGTCATGATCCATAACGCCCTGCATAGGAAAACCCTAAACGACATGACCCAACCGCTGCTCCCATAGCTGAAGATACTACCAATGCTCCAGTGCCCAGTTTGTCTCCGTCTTTCCCCGACGGTCAATGTCGTGAAGGCGCACGACAGTGTCACAGTTCTGGGGAATAGGCTGCTGCAGTCTGAACTGTCGCATGACGCGATCAGGTAGGTGACTCTCCACAACCTCGAAACAGATCAGGGGGACCCGGGCACGCCACTCTCCCTGATGCTCCAGTAGATGTGCAGGCATGACATCTACCAACTCCGGTACATACGGATCCCATGTGATCTGCAATAACACATCCTAAATAAGTTAGTCCACAATCAGTATACACAGTACCTAAATGATTACAAATGTCTTCAGAGTTTGTACCTGATCCTCAGTGAGTCGATCAAGGGCGTCTCGGTAGTATGGGAGACCCGTCGCCGCATGTGCCTGTGTGAGTCTGGGGACCATCCACCTGGGGCAACAAATTTGGTAAGTATGTTTACAAAATGAAATCGTATATGGGAAAAAAAAAATGACAATTGTTACAAACCTGCAACCGTAAGCCTCATCAGCTGCAGAGCGAGGCGGAGCGATGTACGGCTCATACTGGTCAACCTGGTCCTGCTGCCCCGGACGATGTACAGCAGGCCTACCTGGTCTTCCTACGTGGATGTGCTTCCAAGCCCATAGCTTCAATAGCAAAACACAAAACTATGTTAAATATGACATTACTCATTGCATAATTCGCTTGTGATAATATACGTAGTATACCTGAAGCACAAACAGAGGTCCTCCAATCTCGAGCGCACCACTCCGTGAGGCTCTGCAAAGTTGGCGATACAACACCGCCAAAGAGGCACGACCCCAGCTGTATCCACGGATATGCTCCCAGTCGTGGTCTAACAGCTGTAGGTAAATAAGCTGCAAGTGGCTCCCGCTCTTGTTGCCGAAAAACACGCCGGATATGAGGAAGAACAAGTACGCTCGAGCGTATCTCTGTACTGTGGCGTCATCGGCGTCCGCAGGCAAGCCCTGGAAAGTATCTCGTAACCAGACCGTCCTCAAGGCGGAGCCCCTAACATCGTTGGGACCCGGCTGCACCCCGAGAACCCGCACAACCAATCCAACGGGATCGACTAGAAATGATCCCGTCACCGCAGTCCCCTGTACTGGAAGGCGCGTCAGTATTGCCACGTCCCGCAATGTCACAGTCGCCTCCCCAACTGGTAGGTGGAAGGAGTGCGTCTCCTGCCTCCATCTCTCCACTAACGCCGTGACAAGGTGTCGGTCGATCTCCCTGAATCCCAAGCGATGTACACCGCCAAAGCCAGCGTACGTCACGTACTCAAGGCAGCGATCATGGACAACCCAGGGGTCCTGTAGTGCCTGCACTGTAGTGGCTTCGCTACGTCACCCTGTAAACACAGGAGCATTTATAAGTAACAAAAGATAGTACATCAAAGAATCCAAAAACGTTAAAGATGAATCATTACCGTCAGGTTCCATACGTCGACGCTCCGATGGGTGTCCTGTAGTGTCAGGACATAAGGGTCAACAGGTCCGGGTGTCCTATCCTGTACGTCCATGATATCTGTTCATTGAAAACGTTACACACCAAACACTAACACAATATATTGAATACTAATTTCGATTGAAAGGCATAAACAGGAAATCTCGAACATCCAACGTACAAAATAAAATTCATCGAATTGAACACAATAACACATAATGTAGAAAATTATAACTGTTTCATCAAAATAACACCACTACATACTACTATATCAAATAACACATATACACTTAGGTCCTATGTTGGTCTAGATGGACAAGTAGTGCGGTTGTGACTTTGCTGGTGACAACGGCTGCATTTGGTTGGGGGCCGGTTGCTGTCATCCATCTCATTGCGTATGCGCTTCGACTTTGGACGACCTTTTCCACGTATCATTGTGCCGTCCGGAATGAGTTTAATGCCTACGTACTGTGCCCACTGTGCCCAGGTTGTCTCGCAGGGGATCGGCCAGAACTGTGGTGCATAGGTGTTCATGTAGGCGGCCGACTGCAACAGAGGGTCCACCCAAGGCCGTTCTGATAGTGAGTATGTAGCACAGACTGCTAGCACATGAGAACATGGGAGGTGGAATATCTTCGGTTTGTTGCACATACACGTTCTCAACTGCCAGTTCACCGTATGCTTGTGGCCTCCTTTATTACCAACTCTCTCTCCCCTCTCTGTTGTCACTTGGTAAATATGCAATCGCCGGTTATAGGCATCCACTCTATGATATCTGGCTTTAGCGGTGTTCTTCTCGAGGATGGCAGTGACCTTTGGGGGGTATGGAAGTCCCTGATCAGACCTAGCCTCAGAAGACTCCCTTCTCAAAGTGAAATACTTGTTAACTCTGTGGAAGGTTAACTCGACAAGGGACATAATCGGTAGAAACCGAGCTCCTTTCAGCACATTGTTGAATGTCTCCGAGAAGTTAGTAGTACATATACCATACCTGCGACCACTGTCGTGAAATAGAGACCACATAGGGAACGGGACTTGAGAAATGTACTCAATGATCGACATAGGTATTTACATACAAATAGATATGCAATTACCGATTCAATAATAACATATCATAGGCATTAATCAACAAGATTTATGGGCACAACAAATTAACTCTGACGTAAATACCATAATGTAAATTAAAGAATTTTAAGTACAATAAATACCTGCAGCCTCATTACGAGCGTCTAGTATGATCTGTGCACTCTCTCGGATGTCACTCATAACATCAGCAGTGAATAGGTCTGGCCTCATACGCTTAAGCATTTCTTGCACAACGATGCTCTCAAGTATGCCAGCGTTTGTAGATGATGCGTAAGGGCCTCCGTCAACTTCAACCTCATCGTCTCCATCATCTGCCACCTGCACTTCAGGATCGCGACTCTATATAGGTGCACGCTTTACCCTTACTTTAACCCACTTGTTGGCCTTGGTATCAAATGTGTACCCCAAAGTATTAGTAATGGTATTTTCGTTAAACGATTGCTTTGGTCTAGAGATCACTACTTCATTAGATAAATCAACATCAAAATGCATGAAAACCTTAGTCAACCACATCCCATAAGGAAGGAATAGACCTTCCTTTGATGATTTTTGAATATTAATCATGTAGTCAATCATCATCCTCGACATATTCATTTTGATACTAGCAAGTACAAAGTACATGACCAACATGTCTAAGTATGTCAATGAGGACAGTCTTCCATTACGGCAATTAAAGGACTTGAAGAGAATCAGATGAAGAAGACAAGTAGGCAGTGGCAGTTCATAGATTTCTAGTTTCTTAGTCCTACCAGAGTCATCTTGATCAAGCACAAGATTGAGACTTTTCTTATAATCAAATTCCTTGACGGTGCTCCATTTTTTACCCGGAGAACAGCGCGCACCCCTGCTCGAGGGATCTTTAAGATTCTGCTCAAAGAATTTTCATCCAACTTTATCTCTTTTCCCTTTACCCAAGTAATAATTACTTCCTCATTTTTGTTTGCATGATCAAAATGAGTGTAGAACTGACGAACAAGGTCGGGGTATATAGGGTGCTTTTCTGTTAGCAACTTATCCCATTGTTGGTGCTTAAACCACTGTCTTATAAAAACAGCATGGGCTTTATTAAGTGAATCGAAGTCTACATGCCGGCATTCACAAATTGTCCTATTAGTGAATGACTTGTAGTACATCTCACGGTAGAGGGTCGACTTGAACCGTGGTTCCGGCTCTGGCTCGTCGTCACTGCTCGTATCTGGATCAGTTGGGGGAGGTGGTGCTTTAGAGGTGGAAGCTGTTCTTGCAGATTTTCTTGTAGGAGGAGGGGTAGCTTTTTCAAGCCCAACGATAGGTGCCCCAGGTCTGGGTCTCTTATTTGGTTTCACGGCTACATGCTTCACTTTTACCATTTTGCTACAATCAATTAAATAAATAAATAACCAAATCAGAAAGTTCATTATTATGAATCAAATCAGAATTCAAGTTGAAATTGTCAGCCACAGTGAAATACAACAAGGGTCAAAAGTACACATAACAGGAAGTTTAAAGCTACTAAAATATAAATTTAGATAATAACCAAAACTACGAAGTGTTATTACATAACTAATCTAACAGGACATTATTTTATAACCCAGATGATTGGATTTCATTTACAATGATCATGGGTATTAATTAACTCAAAAAATGGAGCATAAGCTTATACCGGCTGTCAAATTCAAAAAGGAATTAACCAAAACAGAAAATAGTAATTACAAAACCAATAATTAAGAACATTCAAATTTAGATACATAGGCAATATTAGATGCTTGGATTTCCTATATAATGAAAATAGGTACAAACAAATACAATTAAGAGTCATTGCAAAACCAAATCAAACTGCCATTTGAAATGTGCAAACAGATTGAACCAAAATGAGTCTCATCATAGGTAGATAGAAAACAGAAGCTTTGATCCACTATCAAATTCAAATTGGTATTAACCAAATCAATAAAGAGAAATTACAATCCTTATAAAACATGTAATTAGAATTTTGAATACATGGGCCAACTTCAAAAACCCCAACTGAATTGATTTCCTTTTAAAAAAATATAAAAAGTAAATAAAATAAAACTTTAAAATGTTAAACAGAATGACAAAATGATGTAAGGGTATGAACAGTTAGGTTTAAAAAATAATTCAAAATACTTAAAGAAAGAAAGGAAATATTAATGTATGCTTGATTAAAATCTAATCAAATTCGTGCCAAATTTTGAATATTGCATTTAATTTACTATAACTAATGTAGTAGTTTTATTAGATAAGATTTTTATTTAAGGTAAAGGAAAATATATACAAGTCAAACTATAGCCTAACTATAGCCTACAATCAAGGGTTCTCAAAAAAAAAAAAAAGTAGCCTACAATCAAGGGAACGTACAAGGCAAAGATATACATAGAACTAAATACTTAACGAATTTAAAGATATGTACAAAAAACCTAGTATAAGAATATCATATCATATGTTATTTTTGTTACCTAATTTAAATGCTTGTACAAAAAATTATTCTAATAAATATATTAGGTTAGGTTTTTATTTACTATAATAAAGGTAATAGTTATGAGGAAAATATGTACAACTATAAAAGTTACAAGTCAAACTGTAGCCTACAATCAAGGGAAACGTACAAGGTAAAGATATACATAGAACTAAATACTTAACTAATTTGAAGATATGTACAATAAACCTACTATAAGAAATTCATAACATATGTTGTTTTTGTTAACTTTTTTAAATGCCCTTGAAAAAAAAATATTGTAGGATTTAAATGAAAATGAAATGATATAAAATCAAAATTCTGTATTCAAGATTTATTTATGTACATTTGTTACTTTTGGACAGATTTTAAAGACTAATTATACGGGTTTATAAGGGATACTTTATGTGCTGGTAATTATTTTTACATAAGTAGAACGAAAATTATGTATGACATTATTGATTGTAAGTTCGAGTTAAACATTTAGAATGAAAACAAACAGGTAAACACGAATAAAGTAACGGGTCAATACCTATCATATAAATTTAAAACACTCATAACAATTTTATTGAACATTCGAAAGTCTCAACATTAACAATAAACTAAAATAAAACAACTTGATAATATCTCTAATAGCTGACATTCGGATCCTAATCGAAAATGGTGGACATTCTCTCGAATATGCTAACCTCATAACTATCAGTAGCTCTTGCAACATCACCCGAATGGTATGTTCTTGGCATTAACTGTATTAAGAGGTCAACAAACCCACCCCATTTGATAATTGTAGGGTGGTCAGTTTGCTCTGTGACATTTACACCATGAACCGCTTCATCTATGTCATTACCCTCCTCATCTACATCATGTCCATCCAAACAGTAAGTTTTCTCGTCGGTGGGTTCAAGTTCATCGAACATACGTTTGGGTCTTCCCCTTCCCTTTTTTTTAACAAACTTTTGCTCTATAATAATGTCTTTTACCTTAGGGAATGTTTTCTCTTTCTCAACTTCCAAAATCATCTTTGCCAGTTTGTCCTTTAGCGAAATTGATCTATTGTCAGTGCAGCTGATCTAGGTGGTGATGTATCTGTTGTCAGTGTAGCTAATCCAGGTGATGATGGATCCGTTGTCAATGCAGCTGATCCGGGTGGTGATGTTCCTGATGTCTCTGCTACATGAAGATAACTATGAAGTTTTTGGTTTAAATTGACATTAACATAACTTAGGTTTGGATATTACATATTTAGAATAGCTGATGTTGTATTATTGCGTTCATAGACAAATTAATATTTTTATTTGCACAAGTAGTATTAGTACTCCCTCCGTGTTTTTTTAAGTGATAAATATTGACCGGCACATAGTTTTAGGCAATTTAATTAACTTAAATAAAATAAGAGGTAAGTGGGGTAGTGGAGTATTAAAAAAATTGTTTTTTTTTACAGCTGGGAAACAAACAGAACACAACTGCTAGAGCGCCATCTACCCCCCTTTCCTAGCTTTAATAGCCAAGTCATGGGCTTTGGCAGTGACACTCCGCGGTACATAGCAACAACATACGTATGTAAAGTTAAGGCTAATATAAATGATATCGTTGATCAGATTCTGTAAGTCTTTTGGAGCTGAGGGAGGGTCTCTAATGGCTCTAACCGCTAGCTTACTATCCGTCCTGATCTCAACCTGCCCGATCTCAGTCAATGCTTCTAACATCCCTTCCTTGATAGCTAATATTTCACAATGCAGGGCTGATGACCCTACAACCCGTTTGCATCCTTCCCTAATCACCACCCCACCCTTTTCCACTACCCACCCCACTGCAGCTTCATCCAGCCTTCCAATTCTCCTCTTCCATGCTCCATCTACAGTAATCATAGCCACTTGGCTTGAATCATGTGTCCCTCGTTGCCAGTAGTTCAACTCTTCCTTTCGATTTTATTGATAGTGGGATTAATTGTTTATTGAAAAGTAATATATGTGAGAGGAAAGATATAATAAAAAAGTAGTAGTGGGTTATGAGAGGAGAGAGATATAATATTTTAATGTATTGTTTTGCCAAAAAAGTAAATGTATCACTTAAAAAAACACGGTCGGAAATGGAAAATGTATCACTTAAAAAACACGGAGGGAGTACTATGTTTTTTAAAGACCGTATGTATTGTTATATGAAACAACCCTTATGTTTAAATGTTTAATGGTTTGGACTCATTGTAATTGTTTTGTGTTTATAGTCCCTTCCCTATTTATTTAATTTTAATTAATTTGCATAATTAGTTGGAGGAAAATAAATATAATAAAAAAACAACAAAGAAAATGTCTTTCCAAATGATTAGCATCTTTAATTTATATGAAAAAAAAATCAATCCACAGGGCCTATAACTTAATAAAAAAAATAAACAAGAAAGCAGCACAACAACTTATTTGTTTTTTTTTTTTTTGGTAACGTCTTGTATAAACATAGGACATTGCCCAATCATGTATAATAACAATATAGTGCAGGTTTTTACATTTTAAAATAAATAAATAAATAC